CCTCAGCTTGACCCACGGGCACCTGTTGGCTCTGGCCCTGGCTCCCCTCATGGCCCGCATGTGCTCCTCGGGCCCTTCCTTCCTGCCTGTCTCTGTGCGTCAGCCTGGACACTCCTCCCCTTCTCCCTGGTAGAAGTAAGTGCTCAGGCCCTGCTTAGATGGCCCGTCTTGATGCCCCAGAGGAGCCTGAGATCTCAGACTCTACGTATCTCCTTCTCATTCATCCAGCAAATGTTTGAACCCCTACTTGGTGCCAGGCACTGCTCACAGAACTTACTAGTGTACTTGAGGCTTGTCTCGATTATACCTGTTTACGCTCTACCTTGCTATTAAATCTCTCAGGGCTGAGGCCTTGTCCTTTGGGCGTGTGGATGGAAATTCAATGTCCAGCCCATAGTTGGTGCTCAGAAATGTAGGCTGAATAAATGAATTTTCCTTCCACTAAGTATACGCCGAGTGTTAAGGCCCTAGGATTGATAGGGTGCAAACTGGGGGTTCTGCAAGGGAAGATTTGAGGTCTCTTCCTTTGACATGTGTACCCTCTCCATCTGGCTCTTCTATCTGCAGGGCATGTACAAGGCCACCGCCCAGCAGGTGGAAACGGAGCTCCTCCCCTGCCTCAGGCACTTTGGATTGAGGTTCTACGCCTACAACCCTCTGGCTGGTATGGGCTGCCGTGTGGACAGGCTCCCCGTGGGCGGGAGGGCATTCCCGGCCCCTGTGTCTGCCTATTTCTGACATAGTAGATGCCCGGCCCAGGACCTGGGAGGCTGGGCTGGGTCCTCCGGCTCTCCTGGGTTCCCTGCCATCCCCCCGCCAGTCTGGAACAGTTTGTGGGAGTGGTGGGGGCCAGTGGATCTGATGGCAGTCTTCCCGCTGACCGGCAAGTACAAGTAGGACGGTGGTGGGAAACCACCTGTGGACTGCTTCTTTGGGGATAACTGGACTGAAACGTACAAGAAAAGGTGAGCTGGAGGCGGGCCGTGTCAGCACAAGAGTTGGCCTGGGTCCCCCTAGTCTGAAATAGGGGGTCTCCGGGGTTGATTTCCTGTGGACCGGCACCTCCTCCTGGTGCTCAGACCGAGGCCCCTGCATTCCCGACTCTTCCCCGATCCCCGCTGCCACCATATTATGTCTCCTGGGAGGGATTAGGGCCTGGACTGGGAATGTGATCCCTGGGCCTTCTGGCGGGTCCCCAAGACTCTCCCTGGAAGGGCTCACCCGCTGTGCACAGCGGGAGGAGGGCCCTTGGATGAGGACTTGGGAAACCTGGCACTCCTGCCCCACTGCTAGTGGGCCCTTCACCTTGGGCAAAGGAATCTAAGTTTTGTAATCTCTTGGCCATGAAATCATTACCAATGTCGATAGTTACAGCTGAACAAATGTTGGGATCAGCCTTCTTCCCTTCCGTTTCCCACTTTCTAAAATTTGAAAAAGCCATCAATATGTACCCATGGCTCAAAGCAACCCGTTTCCAAGTTGCACTCATCAGTCATGAGGATTTAAACAGCACTTTACTGCGAGAGCCCCGAAATGCACACCTTATCGCTGTTCCTCCATTTACCACATCTAGACGCCATCCATGGATTGCTGGAAAGCTCCTACTGAATCTTTCTAAATTAATGAAGATGAGCCTCCAAGGTTAATTTCTGTGTGTAGTTTACTTGCCTCCCCCACCCCAACGTCGCTGGGACCAGAACAAGAAGCTGAGTTTTGTGCAGGGGGCTCCAATGTTAGTATTGTTCAAAGGGCCAAGGACTTTTTTTTTTCATTTTTTTTTTCCATTTTTATTTTTGAGAAACAGAGTGAGACAAAGCGTGAGCGGGGGAGGGGCAGAGAGAGAAGGAGACACAGAATCCGAAGCAGGCTCCAGGCTCTGAGCAAGCGGTCAGCACAGAGCCTGATGTGGGGCTCGAACCCACGAACTGTGAGATCATGACATGAGCCGAAGCCGGATGCTCAACCGACTGAGCCACCAAGGCACCCCGGGCCAAGGACTTTTAAAGTGTCTGATACATGAGATCACTCTGTGTGCACTGCTGTGATGTCAATCCTCATCCAGCATCCCCCCTCCTCACTGCATTTTCTGACCTTTCAGGCCAGGTTGTCACTTTAGGAGCCATTGCCCCACGCAGTGAAGCAGCCAGGGCCTGGGCTTCACGCTGGGGAATCAAGGCCTGATAGTTTTGACGTTGTCTGCTCTTTAGTTTACAAAGCATGACGGGGTCCATTATCTCCTTTACATTCTGCATTTGCTGTAAGGGGCTGGCACGGAGCGTCCCCTCTCCTCACTGAGCAGGGAAAAGTGGAGGCAGGTGGCTTCAGCCAAGCTCAGAGGTGGGACTTGTGGGGCTGGTGGCAGGCGGCACCCTGGTGACGTGGGTCCTGATTTGGGGGGTTGTGTTGTTCACACCTAGTGAAGTGAGCATGTTAAATGCAAGCATTCTTCCTCTTGCCCACTGTGTGCTCTCTACCCCTACCACCAGACTACAAGATGCCCCACTGAGGGACCGGAAGGCCACATGCATGCTAAGAGGTTGGCTTCTCAGCGCCTCAGGGACCAGCGTGGGGATACCTGCCCTGGAGTAACCTCCTGGCACTGACTGCTGTGCCACCCTCCCCACCTGCCCAGCTTCTGGAAGGAACACCACTTCAAGACCATTGCCCTGATGGAGAAGGCCGTGCAGGCTGCACATTGCGGCAGCGCCCCCAGCTCCAGGTAACCTGCTGTCCCGGACGTGTTTTTCTCCTTTCTTGTTTGGTGGGCTGAGGGGGACAACGGAAGGGAGAGGGCTACACAATTATTTGATGGTTTCTGAGATTATTCCTTTTCTTCCAGTATTTCTTCATGCTAATCCGGTTTCCTTAATGCCACATTACGCGCTCTACTGGCCCTAGAAGTGTGATTATCCCAATTTTACGTGTGGGGAAACATTTCAGAGGCTTTTAAGGTCCCGCAGCTACATGAGCACAGATTGGACTCTGAAACGGACACTTTTTAGCCATTAGCGTTTGTTCTGTCCCAGGGGGCACACTCCGCAGGGTCTGACTCTGTGCCTGGCAGGGTTCCCCTCTCTGCTGTCCCGTGTGTCCCTAACACCTTCCTCTGGCTCGAGCCATGGCCTACTGAGGGCTGCCCTTTCTTGAGCGGGTAAGTGCCAGGCCTGAAGTAAATCCTTCACAAAATTTTAATTCCCACAGCCACCCTGCATAGTAAAGGAAGTCTGAAGCTCGGGGAGGTCAAGTGACTAACCCAGGTTTACCCAGCTGCCGAGCAGCACAGGGGAGTGCCTCTGAACTCACGTCTGCCTGCAGAGGAGTCTGCAGAGGCAAGGCTTTCAAGACATAAATTGTTTCTGGAATAATGTAGGATGTAGGCAGACATCCAATGCCAGGTGTCAGCAGGGACGGGGCAGGGCTGGTTGCTATGGTGCATTAACGGTTCCCATGTGGCTGTCTCCCCTTGCAAGGTGCTCATGGGGGGGTGCAGTCATCCTGGGCACGTCCAGCCTGGAGCAGCTGGCACAGAACCTGGCGACTGAGGAAGGGCCCCTATAGCCCCCCGTCATGCAGCCTGGCACCTGGCTGTCACCAACGTCCCGATGACTTCTGCTAGGGCCAGTGCTGGCTTGAGGTGGCAGAGGGCCTCGTCTTTCACACTTTCACCCTGGGCCTTAAACGGCTTTAGTGAGCCTGTTTTCTCTCCCCAGTCCCAGTTCACAAGCTGTTTATTTCCTCTATTCCCACAGTGCCCCCAGCTGCCTTCACGTGAAAGGGCTGGGGCTGTGGTCCACTCGGCCACTTCCTGCTTGGACAAAGTGGGTGCTAGACCTGGCTGCCCAGCCCGGGAGCGAACCTGGTGAATCTGTTTCCTCTGCTGCCTGCAGCCTGGTTCCTGTCCTTCCCGAGGGCTTGGGGGGAGAGGGCAGGAGCACGGATTAGGCTTCTCAGCCTCCTGTCCTGAATCCAGCCTGATCTCTCAACACTGCGGCTGGAGATGGCACTCATGCTGCTACACACAAAAGAGAAAGAGGGCCACACATCCCGAAGATTTCCTGTCACTCAGAGATCCTTCGCGGGATACTCACCACCAAGAACAATTTAGGTAAAAACCTACCGCTGGAGTCACTACCAAGAATAAGAGGTCCCGGTATGCTGTTGAGCAGTTTTAATATCTGCTCGGGGTTTCAGCAGTGGCTTTACTCTCGTCTTAGTGAAAGTTTCCCTCCTTCTCTGTAAGACTCCCGGCCCTGGTTTGGGAGGAGGGGAAGAAAGAGGAAGGAAGTGCGGCCAGGGCTCCCGTATTCCTTGGCAAACCCCGTGTCCAGTAGGGAGACACAGAGGCCAGAGGAGCGAATTGCCAGTGCAGGTGGCGGCTCTCCCACCCCAGCCGTCACGCAGGAGCCAGCGCGGGAAGCTGGCTCACGGTAAAGGAAAGGCATCCTAGGAATCCAAACCAAAGCCCAAGCCAAGGTCTTTTTTCTAGGAAAATTCCTCTTTGTTGTCCACAGGGAGCCATCCTGCAGATAGTTTTACACCTTATAGAAAAGCAGTCCACCCGTCTTCCCCTGCTGCTCCCCCAGCGGGGCGGCAGTCCCATGTGTCCTGGCCCCAAGCGCCTGTCAGTCGTCTTCACCCTCTGATTCTTCTGCTGACTCGGGCGCACTCTCAGGCAAGTCCTCTCCCATTGGCTGAAAGCTTCCAGACTGTGCGTCCCACATGTATTTGATGGTGACCTTGAATTCAGCCATCTCATACCCAAAAAGCTTCTGCAAGAGATGTGTAAAGGGAACCAATGGTCAGGAGGAGCATGTGTGGCACGAAGTGGCCGTGGTCCCTTGTGCTACAGGCCACAGGATGCAGAAGGGGTCAGACTCACCAGCACGCGGGCCTGCTCTGGGGTCAGCACGTCGCCCTCCTTGCACACCTCGTAGTCAGACAGCAGGGTCACCACACCTACAGAGAAGGGGACCCCACACAGTGACTTCTGCACAGAGGCCTGTGCACAGCTCTCTGCCCGCTGCCCAGAGCCGGGAGGGGGCTGGCTGGCACCCCCGACCCCACTCCACCTTGCCCAACCCCAGCACACTCGTGCTAAACCAGCAAGCGTTCAGGAGGGTCTGTGGGGGGATGAAGCCTCCCTTGTGTCCTTTAGCTGAATTCTGGCTGCAAGTTACTGTCACTCTCGTCCCGGCCAAGAGGTGGTCACTCAGTCCCACTTTCACAGGAGAAAATGGAGGCCGGCAGAAATAACCTGCTCAGCCACAGAGCCAGAGGGGGGCTGTTGAGCTCACAAGCTTGCATTCCTGGCAGCTAAGTTGTGACCTTTCCGCTACAGGGACTAACCCGTACCTCTCTTGAGGGCAGTGGGCAGGCCCAGCTGCCTCAGCTGTGGCTCCATGGAGTGGGGGAACTGCTCCAGGGGCCCCGGGTCCAGGGTCACGGTGAAAGTTGCTTTGTTTCCAGCTCGAGCGAAGTCCATTTCTGTGTATTTTGTGAACCACCTTTGGGAAAAGATCAGTGGTAGGAGGGGAGGCTCCTGACTGGCCCCCCAGCCCCGCATGAAGTCAAGCCCCCTGGCCTCTTCTCCCCCCACCCCCACACCTCCCTGTCCATCTCTGCTGCTGACCAGCAGTCAGCCTGGAGCACGGTGCTGCAGAGAAGACCCAGGAGCAGTGTTCCAGGAACCAGTTTTGACTCAACGCCTCCATACTGTACAGAGTACCAGGATTATTCCTTCCCTGCTGCTCCTCAGTAACACTTACTCATTCACTTCCTCCTTGGTGCGGTTGGTGAAAAGGAGACCGACCTCACCCCTCAACTTCTTGCTGACCTACAGAACAAAAGAGGGTCAGCCCAGTCTCGTTAGACATCTGGCAAAATCTGGAGATGTTTTTGGTTGTCAGGAGCTGGTGGGGCAGGGGTGCTATTCTGAGTCCGGGGTTTAAAGGAGAACCGAGCTGTAAGTCAGGCCTTGCTCTCACTGATCCTGCCACTGGCCAGAAATTCACCTGATGCAGGTTGTCCTTGTACTCGTCAGCTGGGCTCCGACCCAAGGCCACCATCATCACTTTGTTTTTGCCAAAGAACATCCTACACAGAAAAAGAGAGGTCTGTGAAGGAAGCGCCCTGCCCACCCTCCCCCCGTTAGGTGCAAACCAGCTCTGGTTCTGGGGAGCCTGAGCACAGGCCCAGACTGTTCCGCAGCAGGAGGTGTGGCCAGAGGCTCCTACTTCTTCCACACAGCCCTGCCTGCTCTGTCCACAGCCAAGGACCCCTCTCGTGATTTTCCTGCCTGAAGACCTCAACGTTCACAGTATTCTGACTACCAGCCCGTGGGTGTTACGTGACCCACTAAGCGCCCCAATCTGGAAACGTGGAAGAGGCACAGTCACCGGTCTGAGCCACACCAGGACTCACTCGTACCGTCAGAGACTCACCCAAGGGGCAGGTACCCGCCACATGGCTCTCAAGTCACTGTGTCATTTCAGAGGACACATCAACATTTTATTTTCTTAACGTTTATTTACTTTTGAGACAGAGAGAGACAGAGAATGAACAGGAGAGGGTCAGAGAGAGAGAGAGAGAGAGAGAGACACAGAATCTGAAACAGGCTCCAGGCTCTGAGCTGTCAGCACAGAGCCCGATGCGGGGCTCGAACTCACGAGCCGTGAGATCATAACCTGAGCCAAAGTCGGACGCTTAACCGACTGAGCTACCCAGGCGCCCCACACATCAACATTTTAAAACTGATGGGACGTTCCTAAAAGGACCAGCCTCCAGGGATAAGGATGCCCCTTCTCCTGAGGGATCATTACTCAGGCATTCCCTGAGCAACTACCAAATCCTGCCCCTGAGAAGCTCAACACAAGGCCAGTTTTAACAGTTAAAAAGTGCCTCTGGGGGGGTGTGGCACTTTCTCCTTAATAAGGTGGTATCTGCAGGGTCAATAACCGTCCCTTGCTCTGAGAGCACCCTGGCTGCTTCTCTACTTAGAAAGGCCCTCTTCCCGCCACCTGCTCACCGGCTGTGCTTCCAGGCGTTCCGGATGTCCTTCAGCTTGCTGTTCCTCATGTTGGCCACGGAGAAGATGAAAATGTACTTGTACGTGTCCACACATTTCCGAAGCTGCGGGACAATTCATGGGGTTCTGGAGTTCAAGGGGCAGCACGGGTTGGGCTTCAGATGGGAAAAAATCTGCTCTAGGTCCCCAACAACCGTGGAAGTTTAGAGCTGGAGGCTCTAATCTCGTCCTTTCCTCCTTACTTCCATTACTGAAGTCATGATCATGGACTACAGGGGCTCCCCTGAGGCAAAGCAGGCGTGATCTCAAAGCGCAGGGGAAGCTGGGCCATGGGTCAACATCCCACGGTCTTCCCAGGTTATCTGTGGCCATGAGTGGAATGGATCGCTTTGCTTTGCCCATTAACTGACAACCCAGAAACGCTCGGCCATACTTGGAAGGCTCCTGTGAAATGGAAATCTGTAACACCTTATTATTCACTAAGAAGAAGCGGCTCATCGGCTCTGCTCTGCCCACAGTGCTGGCTGCAGCCATGACATGGTCTCACGGAAAAGGAATCACTGTGCTGGAGGACAATCTACTGTCATCCAGCTTGCAGCCTTGGAGCAATGTAGACAGGGGGCTGGCTGGTACACTTACATCTAGTAACCCCAGAGCTTTTTTTTTTTTTTTTTGAGAGAGAGAGAGAGAGCGAGAGAGCGAGAGAGAGAGGCAGGCAGGGCTCACCCAAAGCCTTGAGCTCACCTGACCTGATGTGGGGCTCAAACTCACAAACTGTGATCATGAGCTGAGCCAAAGTCAGATGCTTAACGACTGAGCCACCCAGGTGCACCCCCACCTTTCAAAAGTAAGTTCTATGCCCGTCATGAGACTTGAACTCATGACCCTGAGATCAAGAGTCATATGCTCTACAGACTGAGCCAGCCAGGTGCCCTGTGATTGTACAGCTTTTTGACACTGGGCAGGCTACCAAATCTAAGTTTCTGTTACCTAGATGCATAACAGTGATCATTATTCATAGACACGTATGAATGAAGTGGAACACACGTGGAGTACTTAGTGGGGTGCCATGCACAGAGTAAGAGCTCTGTGAAAACCAGAAATCGTTACTACGGGGGTTTTTATTGGGTGCTGTTGCTGGAGGAAAAAGGGCTGAACCAGCACCTTGTGGTGGTTGTGATATGTGTGTGTGTGTGTTTTAAAAAACAGTATTTCCCTGACAACCCTATAGCCACCTTTATAAACCAAAATCTGAACCGATAAAAAGAATGAGCTCTTACCTCTTCTATCAGGTTCTGTTTCAGTTCTAAGCCTTTCTTGGCAGTTTTGGTTAAGGAAACTAATACAAGGAAGAAAAAGACAGATGATGAGACACATATCCAGAAGCCTTGCAGGCTCATTTCCTTCTCCCCTTTGGTAGCTCAGCTGGACCAAGCCAGCCTGAGGAAAGGCACCAGGGCTTTGTATTCCCAGGGTCCCCAGAATGCCAACTCTCTAGTGTTCCTGAGCCTGGAGATCCTTGACATACTTCCTGTTACTTAGACAAACCAGGTGTTCCCTCGCTCCTATTAGGCTAACCTAAAAAGCTGTACTGAGGTGTGGGGGCAGGGCTTGTTCCTGTTCTTGGACGACTTTCAGAGGGATACCTACCTTGCCAGGGCCCTTCCTGATCCCCTCCCTCCGCTCCCCATGGTGTGTAGAGAAAATCTTAGGTGGCTTAAGCTGTGGACTGATGAATCTGGGGATTCTATCTTCTCTGCTACAACCTGTTCTGCAGTTTGGATGCGGCAATGTCTCTTTGGGGAGGGCAAGCACCTCTACCAAGAGCTGGGGCCCAATTTCCTCATATCCAGAGGGTTTGGCATTTGCCATCTCACCAGGGTTCCCTCTACCGAACCCAGTCATTCCACAAACACTTAACAAAGCATCAAATGCAAGGCCATGAGTGTCCCCAGTAAGGGGCTATTTCTTATTCAGTCTGCCTGGCACTCACAAGGCATATACCTGGAAAGGTAATCAATCATGCCAGTCAGGGTAAGGGCAGCACAGGAGGGCAAACACAACGCCACTGTCCATTTCCCACCAGGTTCACTGCTACAACAGTGGACCAAGCCAGCGTGACCCTCTCTTGGATTGCTGCTGGTCTCATTCCTTCCAGCCTTGCCCTCTAGCTTCACTTTCCCCAGTCTATTCTCAACAAGGAAATTAGGGTGATCTTTTAAAAGTTAAACCCTGTCATCCCTCTGCTCAAGCTCCCAGGTGGCTACCCATTTCACCTGGGTGTGAAAGCCAATTCCTTGCAAAGGCTTGTAAAGCCCTGCCTTCTTTGCCCACCTCCCTCCCCTTCTTTGCTTACTCTGCTCCAGCCACACAGCCCCTCTGCACTTTATCTTCCCTCTCCTTGGAATACCATTCTCCCGGGTAACTCTGTGGATTGCTCACTTCCTTTCTTTAGGTTTCTGCTCACTTGTCAGCTCATCAAAGACCTCTCTCTGGCTGCATTATATGAAATATCACTTCTTTATCTTTAGTCCACAAGACTCATTAGAATGTGACCATATAGGATTTTTGGTGTTTTGGGGGATAACATTTCCAGTGACTAAATGTTAAACTCATTGAGGACTCTAGGCCTTCTTGTTGTAACTGCTGTATCCTCCAATGCCTAGAGTACTGTAAGGGTTAAATTGTAGTGTAGGGCTAACTGTAGCTTGAGAAATAACAGCTTCGTGTTGACACTGTAGCTTGAAAAATAACAGCTTTGTTCTGACACTGAAGGTCAAGAGATAACAGCCTTGCTTTACTCTTGTAAATTATGCTTCATACTCTTGTAAATCAGGCTTCACCAACTAAGGAAACAAAAGTTCAAAGAAAAGAGCATCAGAGGCAAGGTCAAGGAGATCCACTGGTTGCAACTTAGCGGCAGAAAGTCTAAAATAATCACCTCATCCGGCAACTGTTTCTAACTCATCTGGGAACTGTTTCTAACTCGTCTGGGAACTGTTTCTCTGTTCTGTTCCCAGGTGATGATAAAACGATGCGATCGGCCATAAAAACTCTGTACCCTGGCTGTTCGAGGCCGCACTCTGATCAAGAGTGTTGGTCCCCATCGATCGGCCTTGCCTCTCATTGCAATAAACTTTGTTGTGACTGTCACTGGTGCCCGTAGCATTCTGTTTCAGGAGTCGTGTGGATGCAATAGTACTAGGCTCCCAAGTATATTTGTTCAGGGACTGTGCTAGAGAGTCTGTACGGGAGAGACACTACCACAATAAGAGTCAGAAATGGCCTTTTAAGACGTGCCTTATGAAATGTCAGCTGAGACAGACCCAGGCACATGAAGACCGAAGCATAAGCATGCCAGGCAGAGGCAACGGCAAGTGAAAAGGCCAGATTTGGGATTAAACCCGTCTTAAAAGAAAAGCGGCCAAGGTGGCGGGCGCGCGAAGAGCTAAGGAAGATGGGCTAGGGTGGAAAAGGTGGGCCAAGGCGAGATCGGGTGCTCAGAAGCTGTTTGGAAAGGCACTCAAGGCCCGGCAAGACAGTCTCCGTTCCCCTGACCCAAGCAGACTCCGGACCCCAGTCGCGAAGCCCTCTCGCAGCTCCCAGCTAGTCCGCGGAGCTCCTCATGGAGGCCCCGGCGTCCCACTCGGAGCTCCTCGCTTAGGCCCTGGCGTCCCACTCACGTCCCCCCCGCAGCTGGCAGCCAGCCGGCGGTGCTCCCCCGGATCCCAGGACCCCTCATTCACCTTTCTTGTCGCGCTTGGATTTGGGCATCGCGCTGCACGCACATGTGTCGGAAGGCGGTGCTGCCTGTTAGGACCCGGGTGGCGCGGGGGCCTCTGGGACGGCCCTCCGGGGCTGCCCTCGCGCGTGCCTGACCCAATCTGCGCCACAGCCCGCCTCTTTCCACCCAGACTTCTCTAGGGCGACTTTAAGCGCACCCGGAGGCCTCCAAATCCCGAGGGCCCCAGCGAGGGCTGCGCGTGCGCTCCCAACTCTATGGTCCACGGAGGCGGAGCCTTCGGCCCGGTGCATGCCGGGCCGGCGGCGGCCCGGGCTCCTATCATGGCGGCGGCGGTAGGGGCGACTCTTTGGCCCTGGCTCTGGGCCGCCCTGCTTGTCCTTTCGGACGCGGTCTACGAAGACCAAGTGGGCAAGTTTGATTGGTGCGTGCGTGTGGGGCCTGTTCGGGAAATATGTGGCTATTTTCTCAGTACCTATGTGCTTGCTAAAGGGAGGGCCGTTACAGGCAGCAGGATCGGCTGCATAACTTGCGGGGCTCAGTGCAAAATGAAAATGTGGGACCCCGCGTAGAAAAATGAAGAGTTTTGAGATGGCCAGAGCAGAGCACTAAACCAAGCGTTAGGGGCACTTCTAAGCCAATCCCTGGGTGACAGGTCGCGAGCCCGTGAAGCCGGCCCTGACATTCAGGCATGCTTGGGTTTGTGGTCAGAGGTCACTGCTCCATCCTCCCCCGTCAGGCCCTGTTTTTGTGACTCAGGTTTCTGATCTACTGGGTGTCGGGGGTCGACAGCCCCTCAGTGAGCTCTCGTTCTTCCGCGAATTGGCGTCTTTTGGGTATGTGAACAGAGGCTTGGGTCAAGACAGGTCCTAAACCGAGTGCCCTTTCTGCTCCCTTCCAGGCAACTTCGACCCTGGGCTCAGAATAAGACCCGGCAAGCCTCACATCAGCCGGGAGGTGCCATTAACTCATTCATTCACTCACTTACTCACTCCCGCCCCCTTCCTTAAGGTCCTGGAATGGGTTTGCTTTTATTTGAAACTAAATTTTGCCATTTAAGGGTTGTGCGATTTTGGGAAAGCGACTTAACCGCGCTATGCCAAGGTTTATCTGTAAAATGGGTTTACTAGTAGTCCATTGTTACTTGCAGTAGTTGTAAGGATGAGTGAGATCATTCCTTTAAATTAGTACAATGCCTGGCTCATTGAATGCAATTAGTAAATGTTACCTGTTATTATTACTGTTCGGGGAACAGTTTATTCTTCAGAGCCCAGCTTGGATACCTCCTCTTCTGTGCAGTCTTTTCTGTATCAGACACATTGATTCATGTATTTGTTGAGTGCTTGCAATGGGCCAACAGGTGTTCTAGGTGCTGTGGATACAGAGTTAGGAAGGAGCTCAGTCTGGTGGGGCAGATGTATCTGTATGTGACATAAGACAGTGTGACAAAGGCAACTCGAGTCCCACTAAAAAGGTTTTTTTTTTTTTTTAATTCTTTTTTATTTATTTTTCAGAGCAGGAGAGAGGCAGAGTACGAGTAGGGGAGGGGTGGAGAGAGGGGGAAACACAGAATCCGAAGCAGGCTCCAGGCTCTGAGCTGTCGGCACAGAGCCCGATTCGGTGCTGAAACTTGTGAACTGTGAGATCATGAGCTGAAGTCAGAGGCTTAGCCGACTGAGCCACCCAGGTGCCCCTCGAGTCACATTTTTAATGATATGTGGAAATCCTTACAATGTAATATGTGAATATTACATGCATACGGCGTATTCATATATATGTGCTTGCGATATTCCAACTTACCAAATACTAGGTATATGTAATTTACAAATAGAAGAATAAACAGGGGCGCCTGGGTGGCTCAGTCGGTTGGGCGGCGGACTTTGGCT